TCTGAGTGCACTACTGGCAGCAGGTGGAGGAGGAGGTGCTCACCGACCAGCAGCTTGTCTCAGACCGAGGAGCCCGTGTGACTGTGATGCAGGAGGAGTTGATGCATGCGAGAGAGAGGATGAGCGTCGTGTCCCGCATGAGAGCTACTCGTCGATTGCGGGAGTCTGACAGGAGGAGGTGTCGTGGCGGCGGTCGCGGAGGTGGTCGTCGGGGTGGTCGTGGGCAAGGCGGGCGTGGAGGTCCAGGCGGGAGGCGGAGTGTCACGAGTCATGGAAGGACGGCGTACGAGCTTGTACACAAGCCTCGACAGCGATGGGATGAGGGAGACTTTTTGTACGAGAGCTCGTCCAGTGACGGTGAGGATTTCTTTGGGACTGGCAGACCTGCACAGGATGGCGACAACGATTTCGACGACCGTCACCCGGACGTAGACGGCGACGGTGGCGTCGGACGTGATGGTCGCGGTGGTGGAGGAGATCGGCCACGACCTTGCGGTGGTGGACGAGATCGGCCACGAGACCGGAGAGACGCTGACAGAGGGCCTGACGAGGGAGCGAGACATTGTCGCGATGATGGTGACGCTGATGCACGGAGCAGCGCAGGGGCCTCGAGACCTGCAAATGGTGACACCATGTGTGGCGACGGGGCAGGAGGCGAGCACCACACAACACCGGATGACGCTCGAGATGGAGCGGACGATGACGGTTCACGACTTGTCCCAGGCGGTGACTTGAGGCGCTTCAAACGTGGACCAAGGGAACGAGACACTATCGCTTCACGTGTGCGCAAACGTCGTGGTGGGGTTGCTAGCATTCCACGAGCACGAGTCCCTGCAACTTAGAAGATTCCAGTCTCCAAGGACTCTTTCTGCGATGGCGGCGGCGAGCAGCGGATCGAGCTGGATGGCGGAAGCCGTCATCCACGAAATGACACTTTGAGTATGCACGTGACAACTCCGATGGGGTCCTCCGAAGCAATCCCAGAATCGCAACAGGGTCCTGCACCATCGATGCGCCCTCCCGAGTTTGAGGAAGACATCGGTCATCTCCCGGTAATGCAGGATGAGCGTTCTGCTGGTGCACTGCATCCACTCACGTCTGCCGGAGCGGCAGTCTCAGTTGCAGCGACCTCAGATGTGCGACGACCACCGGCAGCGGCGGAGCAAGAGAGTATGCTCCCACCTCGCAGTGTTTATGGAGATCAGCCCAATGTATGGAGGGAGGTGGTTGATATGCAGCGATCAGGCACACACGGAGCCGATGCAGTCAACACAGTATCGCAGCCTTCGCCTGCATTGATGGAGGGGAGTCAGGGGACTTTTGTTGCATGTATAGGCGACGATCTGCCGGAAGGTGAGATCTCACACACTCACGCAGTTGAGCAGAGGGCCGCAGGCCATGTCGGCCTGGTATGCCCCACCGACAATCTTCCGGGTACCGGCGAGTTACTGGTTATGGACTCGGCGCTTGTTTCTCTACCGGACTTGTTGACGTTGATATCCCTTGGTCTACCCCACGTTTCACCGCCCAACCCACAACAACCTTTCGTCATGGAGCGCGGACCAGACGCGTTTGACGAGGTAGGAGGCGCTATGATTACGAGCCCAATGGTGTCTGCCACGCCCAGGATTTTTCGTGTTGGCAGACCACACAAGGTGGATCTTGGTTTGGCCGAGACGACGACGTGACACTGCCGCGACGGTCACCGCAGCATCGCACACCGTAGTCCGTCTGATTCGTTTGACGACGCAGAGGAAGGGTCTACAGATGGGCCAGTTGACGCAGTCGAAAGAGAAGCAAGACCCCCACGCCCATCGTCAAACTCAGAGCATCATCCCATTACCACGGGTGCCGGCGCAGTTAGGGGCATCCCCGCCACGGACACCACGGACGCGACACAACAGCCTGTGCTTGGGTCATCGCCGACAGCACGGCGCGACAGAGCTACTGTTTCGCCGACAGTGGCATTCTATGCCAGCGGGAGCAGTACTGGGGGGCTGGACAAGCAGGGATTCCGGATTGTTGGCAGGCCATCTGCACCGTCTATGGGGACACAATCTATTGGGAGTGTCGATGGTGCTCGGCACACCGCCACGACAGAGTTTGAGGACCGACACGGGAGTGCTTTGCCGACGAAGACGTCTGATGTCCATGCTACGAGGGCCACGAAGGCGAGTCTTTCTCTGCCGAGGAAGAAGGCCTCGACAAGGAAGGCGTCATGTTCGTTATTACATATGCGTTCCCATATTGGGCGATCCTGCGTTGTGCATCTCGAGGACGGAGAGATTGTACCTAACGATGATGCATTGGATGTTCGAGGGAGGGCTGCAACGACGGCAGACAATGTCGCTAGGGAGTGTTCAGGGGATGAAGTGGCAGGTCAGAAGAGACGAGGCAGTGTACTTATCGTCCAGGACGACAGCACGGATGTCGTGCCGTGAGAGACCACAGGCACTGATGATGCGGGGGACTCTGATTATGTGCCTAAAGCACGGGCGGCGGATGAAGATGATGGAGGAGGGCGACGAGTGAGACGGAGGACACGACTCGGGCCACATGGGCAGCTGCCACAAGGCACACAATCGGCGACGATTCCTGCCCCCATTGATCGGCGAGCTCAGGTGAAGCTGCTGCTGCGCAAAATGGAGGCCACTCTTCAACAGACACATGGGTTATCAATCGGCCGCGAAGAGACGAAGACTCAGAGAGAGAGAGAGAGAGAGAGAGAGAGAGAGAGAGAGAGAGATTTATCAGATATACCTATAAATATGCATTATATGTTTCAAGTTTTCCAAAAGTGATCACACTCTTCATGTTTTTTTTTTTTTTTTTGCTACAGAGACTAAGAGAGAGAGAGAGAAAGAGAGAGAGAGAGAGAGAGAGAGAGAGAGAGAGAGAGAGAGAGAGAGAGAGAGAGAGAGAGAGAGAGATTTATCACATACCTGCATAGACTGCGCTGTTCGAAAAGCAGGTCCGGGCTATCACTAGGACGGGAGGCCCTATGGCCTAGGCTCGTAGCATGAGAGCCTATAGCCGGGCAGCCAGAGGCCGTTAAAAAATTGGTTCACATCAGCTCAATGTTGTACTATTCTTTTGTTACCCACGCTGCCCCGTAGGTATCTTATTGTGATTGATTGTTACCACTTGTTCGGACTCTTGGGAGTCTCGGGAGTACTGTCTCAGGTTGATTCATCCAGTGCTTACTCAATGCTATATCCACACCTGTGTTGTTGTGCATAGTGGTTTCATGAACTTTCCGCTGCTTACTCAATTTGTGTGCATTGTGTACTCTGTCTCGTCTCCCCTCCTTGATAAGTCTGTGCGGCATGTATGGGCGTGCGTATGATTGTCTGAGTGTGAGTGTACCACTGTTCGTGGAGAATTGAAAATCAACAAACAACCAAGTTCACAACAGTTCTGCACACAGTCGCACAAGTGTTTTCAACATGTGTCTTATGAAGTTGCGAGTAATTGTTTTTTTTTTTTTTATATGACTGCAAATGGTGCAATGTTTAGCATTGTTTACTGATTTTATGTATATATATATATATATATACATCAGCGGTGGATATGGATCATGCAGTGCGAATTTGTGCAATGTTCAGTTAACTTTAGTAGTCCATTATGTTGGGCACGGAAAAAAGGCCTGAATATACTAGCCAGGATGACCATATCTATATATATATAAAATATTATATATATATATAATATTATATATATATATAATATTATATACATATATATATATATATATTATATACACACACACACACACAATGCTGCCCGGTAAACCGTAGGCAGAGACTCAGAGAAGGAGAAGAGGACAACAAACGAGGGGCTGTGAGCCTGTGACAAACTGTTTCGTTGGAGTTTCACCGACTCGTTAGGACTGAGGAGTCAGGACTCAGGACGGTGAACCCTCAATCAGTCTGCAGAATCCCCTAACTGATTACACTATAAGTGATAATCCACCTTAACCCCGACTATGGTTAATCATCAATGACTGCCCGACAATTGTTACCCTGAGGTAGTGGGGAATCTGGGTATCAGCGGACCACCATTGGTCCACCAACCACTGCCCTAAAGGTACCTGTGACAAAATCAAAGCATACTTTTTTTTTTTTTTTTTCGTCTTTTACAAACAGGGTTTACGGGGCCCATTGCCGAGGCGATAGCACATGGAACAATTCTCAGCAGCTCCCGGGAGAGGGCCACCCCCTAATGTGCAAGACGTTCCCACAAGGGCCAAAAGGCCCAAAAGGCCCAAAACTTCAACAACCACGAGTCCACGACTCCACGACAGTGACGAGTCGCCCAGGACAGCGACAAGTCGCCCATGACAACCCGCTCCCAGCAGCTGGCACACCAGTCACCCCAACAGCCGATCGTGGCCCCGTCCACCATTCCCCCAGGGCGCCCAGTGCCCCCAGGCCCCCCACCCACCGCACGGGCCGCACCCCCCGGCAGCCGCAATCACGCCCCATCACCTGATTGACCTCGGCGCCTCGCCCACGCAGTGGCACGCGGTGGCATTGCGTCCCAGGCACCGCACCCGACACCCAGGCACCGCACCCGACACCCCGGCACCACACCCGACACCCCGGTCCCGGCCCCACATCTCGTCGTGTGACCTTGCCACCCAGGCATCGCCCCCGACACCCCGACACCGTCACCCAAGCAGCGCACCCGACACCCCGGTCCCGACCCCGCATCCCACCTTGTGACCTCGCCAACGCACCCCGCTTCGCCACCCCGGCACCCCACTCCGCAACCCTCCCCCGACCCCGACACCCCGCAAACCCCGATCCCCGGCCCCGACAGCCCGGCCCTGACCCCCACCATCGACCCCCGGGCACCGCCCCACGACCCCGGCGCCGCACTCCACAACCCGCCCCCGACCTCGCACCCCGCCACCGGGCCGATCCCCGCACCTCGACCCCGCCACCGACCCTCGGCCCGCCACCGACCCCCGGCGGAACCCCACCGGTCACCCCCGGCACCGGCAAACCCCGCTACCCAGCACCGGCAAAACCCGCAACCCCGCTGCCCCGCATCCTGCCCCCACCACCGCACCACCGGCTCTGTAACCCCGCCACTGCGGCCCGCCAGCCCATCCCCGCCCCCGCGATGGGGCAACCCTGCACCCGCCAAGGAGGGTCCGCGCCCCCGGGGGGACCCCGTGTCGGGGCATTTTCTGCACAACAGAAAAAATGTCAGGGGCTACCCATCATATGTGGATCGGTGGCTTTTGTATAGTAGGTGCAGCAGCACATGCAACTATTTTCATGGTAAGAGATTATGACTCAGCTAACCAATACAATAATCTCTTAGATCGAGTCATTCGCCACAGAGATGCTATTATTAAAGATCCAAAATGTCAGAGTGATCATTCTAAATCATTTTCATTTTAATAGTGTATTGCCTGATCCTCAGTCAACGGTTCCAACTAGGTAATGCCACATTTAATTAGCCACCAACGAGGTCCAACACCGATCATATCAAAAGCATGGACGATTGGTTGAACGCTGGTTAAAATAATTACTTTGAAGTCTACCTCCTGACACTCCCTCATGGAAGAAACACACAAACTATATATTTTTTATTTATTTTTATAAAAAATTTTGTTTGTACTTAAAGATCGAAAAGGTCGGAATGACCATTTTAAATCATGTGCGAACTGTCTTGGACCTGCTGCTTCTTGTTCACTTTGAACTGGCTGCACACGTTCACTACATGCTATTCAATTCAACTTGCTACCTCACACGTGAACTTTCTCGGAGAAGAATTATTGAGATCAAGTGAGTGTGTTTACCATGTGTTCATGCGTGACACTTTTTGGAACCAGGGATCAAGATGAGCGACAGAAGAAGCTACGAGAGGAGAGACTATGATCGAGGAGACAATCGTTCAGGGAGTGAAGAACATGGAGGTTATCGAAGATCGGAGAAGAACTACGACCAAGGTGCTGATCGACCCTACAGAAGGTCTCCGCCAAGGTGCTTTGCCTGCAATGAGCGAGGACATTATACTAATCAGTGCAAGAATCAACGTAATTTTGATAGTCTTCCTTCTACTTCGTACGACACCGAGCGAGGCAGATCAACGTCGCCTACAGGGTGTAAAACGGAGAAGCCACGCTCCTCGTCACAGGAACCGCATTTGCAGAAGTAGATTGAATAACTGAGAAAAGTTTGGCATCCGTGACCGAGTTCGTGCAGAACGAGATGGCAAGGAAGGCTGAAGCGGAAAGAGCGAAAAACGAAGCTGAAGAAGTGGAACAGCGAGAAGCAGCTGAGAAGGCAGCTAGGGAAAAGAATGAGCGGAAGAGGTTAGAAAAGTTAAGACAAGAGGAGTTGCGAGCCGCAAAAATTGACAAATGGGTGGAGTTGCAAGTCGCTATCCGAGCTGGAGAGTTCATTGACAGGATGGAAGTTAACTACGGAAAAGGCACCACACCTGGGAAAAAAACCAGAGGGAAGAAGCAGATTGTATAATTGTCCGATCATGAATCGGGCTTAAGCAATGGAAGCAGTGAAAGCGAAACTGAGGACACCCTAGCTAAGACAAGGAAGCTCGTGATCAGCGAGAAGAGGAAGCGTGGTGCGGAACTACTAGTTAAAGGAAGCCCGCCGATGATGACCCCAGCGAAGCGGACTCCAAAAGTTACTAGAGATAAAGCTACGGAAGAAAAGTATGGCGCTTGAAGACCAAGCTGTTACCGTATTTGGCACGGAAGAAAAGTCCGGCACCACCAAGTACTGCTATGAAGTTCCGCTTCAAGAACCAAGCGATGGAAGAGCTCCGGGGCTTGGATGCCCAGGTATTGCAAGCTATCTGCAAGAACGAAGGAGTCGCCTACAATGGTAAGGTGGACGCAATCTTCGACATTGCAAGCCACCGAACCCGTAAGGCATTCGACAAGGAGGAGGAACCGATTGAGTCGGGCGAGAACTATGAGCACGGCGAGGAAGACATGACAACAGTCGAGGAAGGCGCTGAAGCATGAAGTATTGAGGACCTATGGCGCACTGTCAGATGGTTGACAAGTTACCGATGTAGTTTGTCGCGTGTAGATACGAAAGTCGAGGAGTTAGTACGGCTATGTGTTCTCCATTTATCACTAAGAGGTGAGATTAAGTGGGTTGGCAAGATTTTAGAATGTGGGAGGAAACTGGTCGAGTTATTTGGTGTGGAATTCCTAAACATCACGAGCTGCGTCTATATGGCAATCTCACCGTATTGCAAATTGCAATACGTGAAAAAACAGAAGGAACATTGATATTCGTTGGTGGGAACGCCTTAGTGCATGTCGCAATCGGACCCGATCTCATTCCATAGATGGATTAGTACGTTCAGAGCAGGTAATTACGTTCTATTACCAGTCGATCGTATGCAAACTCAAGATTTGTTGGACTTTGAAGCCGTGTACATTAAGCCTTGGTCGCCTTTCCTCAATACGAGCGGCTGCAGCGACAAGATCGATGGTAAAAGCGTCTAGGG